TGACTTCCCCATTTCATTTCGTGTTGCACAGACTTGAGTTTTTTCTTTCCTTTTTTTCAGAGAGGTGCCTAGGTGATTTATCAACTTTATTTATTCTTCCAGAAAATCAACTTATTTATTCATTAATTTTCATTGTTTTATTAATTTCTGCTCTGATCTTCATAATTTTCTCTCTTTGGACTTTGGGCATGACTTGTTCTTCTTTTTCTGTAAGTTTGAAGTGTAGCATTAGGTTATTTTTGATCATTCTGTTTTTCTGATGTAAGAATTCACCACAATGTATTTCCCTCTTGGGACTGCTTTCATTGCATCTCACAGGTATTGGTAATAGAATTTACATTTTCTTTTAAATCCATATATTATATAGTTGCTTCTTTAATTTCCTCTGTGACTCATTGATTGATCTATAGGGTGCTGTGTTATTTCCATGTGTTTATGGGCCTTTTGTGGTTTCTTTTGTTATTAATTTCAAATTCATTGTACAATATACATACAATAATTTCAATTGTTTTGAATTTATTTAAGCATGTCCTATGGGCTAGTATAAGGTCTATTTTAGAGACCCATTCATGTGCAATTAAGAAGAATGTATATTCTGATGTTGCTGAATGTAACACTCTGAACATATCTAAGTCCATTCACAAGTTTGATTCATTTCTTTTATTTCTTACAGTTCATCTATCTCTTTGTGACAATGGGGTGTTAAGTCCACCTTATATAATTGTATTATTGCGTATTTGATTTTTCATGTCTATTAATATTTATCTTACATAGGTGGGTGCTCTTGAAGTTGTCCCCCAAGAAATATGTAGTGATCTTTATCTTTTTGATCATTCTGGCTTTGAAGTTCACATTGTCTGATAGCAGGATAGCTACCCCTGCTTTTTTCTGCATGCCTGTCTCATGGAGTATTGTTTTCCATACTTTAACTTTCAGTCTCTGCATTTGCTTTTGAGTTAAAGGTGTTTGTTGTATATAGCACAGTGTTGGGTGTTGTTTCATGATTTACTCTGACAGTCTTTTTTTTTTTTTTTCTTTGATTGGTAAATTGAGGCCATTTCTGTTAATGGTTATAGCTGACATATACTGGCTTATCTTTCTCATGTTATCTTTCTGCTATTGGTTCCCTCATTTTCCCCTCTGTTTAATTGCTTGTCTTGCTTGTTAGTTTCTTTATGGTGTTGTTCTTGGAATTGTGGTCATTTTTAGCTCTTTCTAAAATGTATTTTAGTATCTCTGTAGGGTTAGTTGGGTGATCATGTTCTTCATTTGTTCTTTGTCATGGAGATATCTTATTTCTCCAGTGATTTTGACAGAAAATTTTGCATGGTCATCAGTTTGGGTTGAAAGCTGTTTTCTTTTAGGACTTAAAATACTTCACTCCTAAACACTTATTGACTTGATGGTTTATGTTGAGAAGTCTTCCATGATTCTGATAGTCTCTCCTTTGTAGGTGATGTATTTCTTTTCTCTATCAGCTTTTAATCTTTTGTTCTTATGCTAAATTTCTAGGATCTGGATTATTATATGGTGAGGTATAGATTTATTTTAGTTATGGCTCACTGTGGTTTTGTATACCTTGCTTATCTGCATATCAGTTTCTTTTCCCATGCTTGGGAAATATCCTGCTGTTACTTCTACAAATTGTCTTTTTATGTCATTTTTGTTTTCTCCTTTTTTGTTGACATCTATCAATCTTTTGTTTTTGTTTTTGTTTTGTATTTTTACGAGTTCCAGGGCTCGAACTCATGACCACATGCTTGCAAGGCAGGTGCTTATGCCACTGAGCTAAATCCCCAACACATACATCTATCAATCTTATATTGTTTCTGCCTGCATCATTTGTAGCAGTTGAATTGTCATTTCCTGATTCTTTGTTATTCTTAAAAGATATTTCCTTTGTTGATCACTAGCCATAGTTCTCTCTTCAAGGTCTGAGAGTTGGTGTTCAGTTTTATTTACACAGTTTTGGCACATTTCAATGGAATTTTTGATTTCCCAGATTTCTCTTTACATCTGTTTCATGTATTCTAATTGTTTCCTGTATTGTTCATTCAGGTTTACATCACTTTCCTATACCCTCCCTTTTTTAATCTATATCTTTTTGGATACACTCACCAATTCTTTCATTATATTTTCATTTCTGTTTTTATCTGAGAGGTTATTTCTGATCTGATTTCCTTTACAGCTTCCTGGAGTAATTTCTTTACTTTCTTTGCTATCATTTCAGAAATTTCAGGTGTATGATTTTTGATGCAGCCATGTCTATGTCTCCTTTACTTGATGGGCTGGATGGACTGGAAGCTAGAGATTGCACTTTGTTGTTTTGTTTTGTCATTTTCTTGTGTTCCTCCAAATAAGTTGTTAGGTCCTAGTTGCTTTTTGTGCTGGCAGTCTGTCCAGCAACAGGCCGTGCTGCAGATTGCCAATGGCTACAAGTCACTGAGCACAGACTCCTGGTTCCCACAGGCCTCAGAGCTGGCTCCCAGAAGTGGATGATTCGCTGAGGGAGTCTCACAGTCCCTGTGGGCTGCACCAAGGGTTCCCCAGTGTCACTGGGTACAGACTCTCATTCTGCTATCCAAGGATTTTATTCTTTCTCCTCTTATGATATAAAATGATATGTAAAAAGTATATATGTTATACATACTTGAAATTAATGTAGCCATCAAAATAATTTTGTAATGAAACAATATATAGAGATTTGTAAGATGCAATTTAAGCTAAAAACTGAAAGTCTAAATTACATATTTGATATTTTAATAATATGGATAATTCTTGTGTGTTTATTTGAAGATACTCAAACAGGAATTATCTGACTTTTAAGAAATATATGTTTGGTGCTTTAAAACCTTTACCTATCTTTCCCTGGTGCATTGTATAATTTTAGAAAGGACGGGTGCTTCTTTCAAGAAATCTGATGAGGATTCTGAAAGCACTTAAGTGTGCTGTGCAACTATCATGCAAACTCATTCATTCTAGTTGGTTGTGCAAAGTAAACTATCCCTATGGAGGAAATATAAAAGTGAGAGATGACAAATATGTAGATAAGGGAAAACTGATAAGAGAAGTGGGTGTTAGAAGGTAAGTAAAACAAATGCAAATCTTAGGTGTGAAAAGGTACAAGCCTTCCAAAATTTAACTAAAAAAGTATAAAATGAAAGAGTTAGCAAGGATAAAATGCCTAGAGAAGCCCTAGAAAAGTGACAGGGATGCCTTCAGAAAGAAAGCCACATTACTGAAGGTGGGTAACTAAAGTCATGAATTTAAAGCAATTACAATGACACAAAGTGCATTTAGTTTTGAAAATTAGTATTCCGTTTTTTAAAAGCAGAGGCTTGGATTAATAAAAACAAAATAGGAAAACATTGTGTCCAGTTTAACAAGGTAATTAACAGGAGCCTAATCTTGATTCGTAGGACATTAGAGCGCTGTCTCTTTCTGAAGATTTTTCAGCTAGACAGTTATGTGACCATGTTTGTTATGTAGAGAAGTCACCAGCTTTAGCACAGGAACATGTTTGGACCTCAGCTAGACCAAAGGCAATAGTATCAGGAGATTGATAGAGAGGCCCAAATAAAATACAAGGAAAAAAAGAACCAGGAGGATTCAAAGAGACAGAAGGCTAAAGAAGATATTTCAAAGAATTCTCATGACTTTAAAAGCACAGTAGATGTAAATTATGAAGCAAGTAACTCATAGCGATCGCACTATAGCCATGCCATCAATGGAATGGGATACAGGAGGAAGTGATGAGGTCAGTATGTAATGTGAGTTGTGAATTATATGTTATAAAATAACCAAGGAAAGATTGGCTGCTTAAAATTCCAGACTTATTTGAAATATATTTTTTAGCAATTAAAAAAAATAATTATGATATTTTTAGTCTCGATTGCATAAAACACGTGAGTGCATATTATTCTTCTGTTTAACTGAAAGTGTGAATTTTTGTCGACATCATAGTTTCCTATGCATTTCTCTGTAAGCACTTTCTCCACAAAATTTATAAATATCTGAGATGATAGATTTATTTAATTTCAGAATGTAATTATTTTAAAATAGTTTCTTTTTTTCAATGTGAATGCATGTATATATATATATATATATATATATTACATTGTATTCCATACTCATATATAATAAATGTTAATTGATATTTTAAATGTGTAAGTTTAAATTTTTCAGGATTTCAAAAATATTACAATGTTTCCAATTCGAATATTCTGTGAATATGTGATTTTTTTAAAATAGTGTAATAGTTAGCTTTTAACATTAAAATTGTTTATATGGAGTAGAGAAAACACTGTCATAAAAATTGTCATGTTTTGAAGACATGACTTATAAGGACAGAGGAAAAACATCACTGGGAATTAAAGATGTCTGTAGAATATTTTATTTTCCCCAAAGGTAAACAGTGTCATTGGACATGTGCTCTCCCAGAACCATGCGGAAAATTATGAGAGTTTAAAATCAAAGGATTGATTTATCTTCCTGAGTAGAAAATCATAACTTATATAATATTAATGCAAGTTTGATAAAATTTAGTTTCAAAGTAAGATATTCATCATGAATTTATCATTATAATATGTTAAAAAATTCTCATATACTTTTGAGTTCAATTATTTTAAATTAGATTAAGATTCTTTGATATTTTACAAACAAGATCTAGGTTAATATCTTTCTTTCTTTTCAGTGCACTAGAGGTTTAAATCTTGGTAATATTCAAACCATGAATAGCTTTGAAACACTATGTTTTGAAGAGTTGTATTTATTTTCATTTCATCTTAAATCTAGCTGCATATATATCTAGACACAATTGTTTGAAGAGGTTTATTCTAACAAAAACTGAATGTTTAGATTTCCCTCAGTGAAAATTAATATATTTATCAAAATTAGCATTGCAGTGATATTACTGAGACAAGTTTATTTGTGCCAAATTGACTTTTACTATAATAATAATGCATATATTTACACAGCTCTTCTTTTCTACCTCTTTAAAGCTTCACACTGACCAAGACAAAGGAGATGGAAATTTAAAATATATATTAACAGGAGATGGGGCTGGCAGTCTGTTCGTTATAGATGAAAAAACAGGAGATATTCATGCTGCAAAGAAATTAGACAGAGAAGAAAAATCCTTGTACATTCTTCGAGCCAAGGCTATAGACAGAAAGACCGGGCGGCAGGTGGAACCAGAATCGGAATTTATCATTAAAATCCATGATATCAATGACAATGAACCAAAATTCACAAAAGACTTATACACTGCCAGTGTTCCTGAAATGTCTGGAGTTGGTAGGTATCAACTATTCTGTGTGAGCAAAGTTTTTTTTTGTTTGATTGTTAAGGGAGTTATTATGGAGATATGGTATGTGGCCTTTCTCAAGATAAAAACTGTAACTCTTTTTAATTATATATATATATATATATATATATATATATATATGTGTGTGTGTGTGTGTGTATTATATATATATATATATATGAATATACCTGTTTCATGTCATACTGTTAAGTTATTTCATTTCCTGGGAAACAAAGCTTTAATTGCTACTTACCTGTCGTCCAAATGGCCACCAAGTTGGATGTACTGCTGCCTGAAGCGGGAGGGAATAGGAATAACAGAGAGTGAATAGTGCTGGACAGTTTTGTTTATATTACTTTGAATAATAACAAGTAATTCTGGAGCTAGGCATATTTTCTCTGGACTATGTTATTTGCTTATTAAAACAACTTTATCTTTTAGTCTGGGAAATAGATCTTTAAATGTTGATTTGGAAACTTGTGAATACAGAATTTAGGAAGATTTAGCAAATCGTTTAATCTGGGAATGTCATGGCAAAATTCAAGTTGTGTTTTTGCATATATTACATTAGAAAACATCAGTTATCATGCCAACTAAATAATTATTTCTTTTTTGTGACTCTTATATTTTGTAAGCATGCAACAGTTTTATCTGTATTTTGAGAAAACACCTAACTCTTAAATCATAAAATTTTCTAAAAGTCAATAAGACTTACAATACCAAAAATGTACAAGAATTTTCTCAAATATAATACAATTTGAGTTATATTTTGGACATTGTTATTAATATATTCATCAGTACAAAAAATTTTCTATACTTGGAGGGAAAAGTTTTTTTGCCTTTCCTGAGAGTTTGCTGTAAAATTTTAACCGTGTAAACTAGTAGAACTAAGGGTTTGTAAAGCAGTTGATCCAACCTCAACTCTTACCTATTTGAGGAAAGCACAATTGTTACTGTGTTTTCAGCTATTCCCTTCAATGTGTGAAAGGAACTCATAAAATTAAACCGGAATCCTGTGAAACCACAAAGTAGTGGAATAAACTATGGATGAATGTGTTTTTACGATATTATTTCAGTGCGTGTTAACTCGGTACAATTACCTGGATTGATCTGTATTAGTCTGATAGTAGGCTAATTTAGGAAAAGGGCATGGTCTCCTTGTGAACCTGTTTTGAGATGAAGACCTGTCTTAAATTATATTTTCCTTACCAACTTCCAACTGTAATGTGTTTTCAAGTAATTTGGTCTTCTAGAAACATTCTGACTTTTGTAAAATGTTACTTTTCTATGTAAGTTACTGTGCCAGATAAGTTGACATCTGGAAGTATAAAAACTTTCCCTTCTTTTTCCTCTGAAAGATTTGACATTTAGAAAAGTGAAAGATGCAATTATGATGAAAAAATAATTATATCTGTAAATTGTGATCATGATTCATTCAAATTTGAATACAATTTAAAATTTTTTAAACTTTTATATGTAAAAATAAAAAGTTTCATCTGAAAAAGTACTGATATTTAGTTCCAATAATTAATATTTTCTATTAATTCTTCTGTGATACTTTATGAACTATTATCTCTCACTGTCACATTTTCATCAACTCTCTTCCTATTCAAATGTATTTTTTCATATTAAATATAAGTGTAATATAGTCTATGTAAATTTATTAAATATTTAACAATATAAAAATTGAATTGAATGCTCTTTAGTTTTAAAAAATCTTCAGTGACTCAATATTTTATACTAAAACAATATAAAGTTTATGAGTGCAAGGAAGTTTATAGATTAATAGTTCCAAAACTGCTTACTTTATTTCATTTATATACATTACATTTAATTTGTGAGCAACTCAACTTTAATTAGAGTAAGCTAAAGAGTGAGAATTTGCACCATTGCCAATCACATTCCTTCCAAGGGCAGAATGCTCACAAAACAGAAAAATTTGCAACAGATATCTGTCTTGTTCTGATTGCAGCTTTTGGTATCCATAAATAAATACTTGATAATATAGATAAATATGAAATACAAATAAATCTTGATCCTAATTGAACATGGCAGCTTTTATTTCTTACTTGTCTGGTATGAGTGAATTGTTCCCTTTAGGCCATCCATAATATTTACTTACATGTGTTTCTGTCTTTAACTATGAACACACAGATTAATATATACAGTGTGTGTACAGAAGACACTGTATTGGCTTCATTGCCACGTTTGATAAATGTTTACAAATAAACCAAAGATTTAAATTGATTTTTCTAAAAATATAGGATGTCTGCTACTAACTTAGATTTTAAAGAAAAAATTAACAGATGCAGTTATTTTGCAAATCTCATGCCTACTTTTTTACATTACATTTTGTTACGAAAAATGTAACTTGAAAATATACTTCATCAGATCATAAGAAATTCCCTCAGAATGATATTTTTCTCATTTATTTGGATTAAATCAAATGCTTCTCTTAGTAAACACTTATACAAATGACAGTTCCAAAGGGGAAGCCCCTTTCTTTTTTTCATGTATGATTTTAAATATATTTACATGCACATGCATACACAAAGACTTACATACCTAATTCTGTAAGAAGTATTCTGGGAATTTACCTCAGTCATAAAGTACTTGCCTAGAATAAATGATACCCTGTGTTTAATGACCAGTACCATCAAAAAACCCAAACCCAACCCAAACCAAACCCCAAAAAACCAAAATATTAGGTGCTTAATAATTCCTGAAATTGGTTGAGGATATAGCTCAGTGTGGTAGCACATCTGTAGCAAACCCAAGGTCCTAAGTTTGAGTCCAGGTACCCCCTCAAATTTCTGAAATTGTGCACTCCTTTTTTACAATATTCATAACTTACTTAAAAGAAAATAATCTGTTAGATTATTGTTAATTATTGTATGTGTCATTTTCTACTTTGTCTTTATTTGTAAAATTAAACCATTTTACGGGGAGTCACTCAAGGGCAATTTCCAGGAATTGTGAACATATTTAAATTACATGCTAACAGTTTAAGCATATGCTTATCAAAAATAAACATAAATGAAATGATGCTCAATAATTTCATTCTAACATTATTTTCACATATTAGTGCTTTTCATTTAAATCTGTAATTTGATGAACTACAATTAATTTGGAGAGGGAATGAAGTCTAATGAAATAAAATGAATTTTTGTCTTCCAATGATCTCCTGCTATCTGCTTTTTCTGTCCAATCATATTGTTTCTTAACATTCCATCACTTATTTTTCTCTCATCAACTACTGTCTTTGTTTCCTTTCAACTCTGTTTTTTTTTCTTTTAAAACTGTGTGCCTCATTCGACTTTAGCTCTCAAAATCAATACAGATCTTTATTTCAATTCAAGTGATTCCAACAAGCTTATGCAATCAGAAATATATTAATAACCTAAGAATATATAATCTGGATACATGTAATTTAGGAGCATGACATAAACTTTGATTAAAATGTTAGTTGAAGTTCCCTATATTTTATATTTCTAATTTCTTGTGGTCATAATTAAATTGACTAGATTTTCTATCAGTGTACTACAATTGTATGCATTCATCTTGTTTTTTTTTTAATTTTAAAGACAGTAAGATTATACATAACAAAATGGAACAAAACAGATCATAAGAAAACAATTTTAAGAAACATGTATTTCAAAGCAAGTCAACTGGACATCTTCACTGTCTATCATAATGTCTCTAGTTTTATTCCAAACAGTTGTCCCCATCTTCACACATATTGAATATGTTCTGAACATTATAGAACTACTCTAATCATAACAGGATGATGAAGCCTTTTTAGGTCTTCAAGACCTGACATTGGGGAAGTCAACAATGACTGCCGTAATGTCTCTCATTCTCTTTGAAGTAGCTGCCCATATCTTTACGTATGCTGAAATTAAACATGAGATGAGACTAATATCACTCTGAACAGTGAATAATAGTATTGCTAGATTTTATATCATAATGCTGCAGAATAGCATTGGGTGTCTTAGTGTCTCTTCTTCTTCAGAGTATCTGTTCATTACATCGTGCATTGTATAATCTGTTCCCAAAAACTGTTTAGAAATTCTCCCCATGTGTGAATCTCTACATGTACATCTATCCTTTCTGTATAGGGAAAAACAGATCAAAACAAGACAACAAAACAAGTTTGCATTCATCTTTAAGGAAATTACTATTGCGGAAATTTGGTGATTTGGGAAACATATTTTCTCAGTGCTTTGGCATGTGACTTATTATACTCTACATAACTTATCCACTGACCATTCCTACAGTGTAGATGATTTTACAACTAGGCGTTCATCTGCAGTTATTTGTGAAAAACAAATAGCTCAGGTCCTAACTGGAGCTTTTTCTAACATAAAGTGCCTATGAAGACAGTAAAGAATCCAATCACATCGATGACACAGTTGAGCCATTTAGTAAAACATTTGGAATAACTAGTTTTTCTTTACTCAGACTGATTAGTTTGATGTACCAATCTTTATGTTAACTTACATTTTTCCTAAGCCTATCTTTATGTAAAAACAATGATCATGTCAAAAATATAGAACAATAAAAACAAATGTCATCACAACACATATTGAATAATACAAAAATGTGCACAGATTGTTTTTACTTCTACCTATGTGAAATCTGAAAATAATATTTTTTCACTGGTAACACAGCAGCTGCCATAAAATTGCTGAATTAGCAAGCTACATTTTCATCATATTAAGGCTTAAAACTTCATGTTCAAAAATTTCTAAATGTGATAAGAATTTGCATCTTAACTTATAGCTACTGATTATACAGAAAGATTGAATATCAAATAGCTAATATGTCAACTGAAATTCTGAAAACTATTGTGGGAGAAATGGCTTTATCACTTTTGTTTTGGTGTAAATGGAATGTATATGGATACCTTTTCAAGGATATATTGCGCAGTTATCATTCATAAGAATAAACAAATTCCATCACAGTTGAGAAAGAGTTGCCCTCAGTGTAGTAGTTTAGGTTCTCATTGTATGCAAATTAATTTTTAGAAAATATAAAAAAGCTAGCTAAATTCAATTCTTCACATTAAAACGCACTGACAAGTAAAGAGCTGTTATTATCAAAGGTAATGAAAACATATTTTAAGTGGAAAGTACAGAAGCATATAGACAAAGTTAAAAACACAATCATATTACACTTTATGAATGAATAAAATATATAGGCCATTTAAATAGGTAAAAACATCAAAAAGGAATTCACTCTGAAATTCATAATCTATTGAATGATTAAAATCAAATTTCTGAAAACTTTTGTATAATTGACTAAAAATGCCCTACAACCTCAAGGTGCTTAAGGAAATGCATGGTAGATTTCACTTAACAGTGATTTTAAAACAATGCCAAGGATTTTTATAGAGATTTGCAGCAAAAGAAAGGAAACATCCATCAGCTTGTTCTCTTATGCTTACTTACTGAAACATTCTTTTTTGCTGTGTCTTATTTATTTATTTATGCTTTTGTGGTACTAGGTATTTAACCCATGGTTTTGCAAATGCTGGGCAAGTGTTCTACCACTGAGCTGCACTCTAATTCTTTAATTACTAGCACTTGCTCCTTTAAAGATCTGAGGTCTTTTAAAACATAGTCACTTCTGATAGTTAAATGGAAATTTAATTGTATAATGTAAACTTAGGCAAATCATATGGATAACTAATACATAGTATGCAGTATAGCTTTCTCTTTTCTGTGACAAGATACCCAACACCCACAATTTAAATAAGATGTTAAATTGGCTACTTTCTTGAATTCAGTCTTTGTTGACTAGCTCCAATACAGAAACACCATGATGGGAAGGAATGACAGAATATAGTTTCTCACCTAAGGGCACTCAGAAAACAGAGAAAAAGGAGGCATGAGCTTCAAAAGGCCTAACCTTTATGACATACCTCCTTCCACTAGCTCCTGCCACATCATATTTAGCTATGAATTCGTCAGTGGTTAACCAACCAAGGGTCCTATGATGCAATAACCTTTGCTAATCTCACCTCTGAACACAGAGGTCTGTGGGGAATATTTTAAATGTAAATCACAACATAATGCCCTGGCCTCCAAAACACTCACATCAACTCCTAACACTAAATACACTTAATCCATTTCTTAGCACACCCAAATCTTAACAGTGCCAGTGTTTCTGAAAAGTTTAAATCCAAGTTACCCTTGAGAAGAAAAACTCTTAGCAGTGAGTTCCTGTTTAAAAAAAAAAAAAAATGAGCAAACATACAAAAAAAAAAAAAATAGTAGCAACACATAAATGGCACAGGGTAAATATTTGCATTTCAAAAGAGAAGATTAAGACCAAAATAAGACAAAAAGCCAGCATGGTAAATATTAAATCCAGTAGTTGCATATGCAGCATACAGGGAAGGTCTTGACTAGATGAATTTCCAAAGGACTTGGGCAGCCTGGTTCAAATAACATTGAGAGTTGCAACCAGATGGCCTCTTTCTTGGACTGGCTTCACTCACTTCCTGGGTCTCTACATAGCAAAGACTAGTTCTTTGTATCTGCAACTTTCTGAAGTTTCCAATGCTCATTCAGCTTCATTCTCAAACAAATTTCATATCCTCTTAGCCTTCTTTTAAAATATGGGTGGAAGTCATCATGACCACACAGTGGTTGAATCCTGCATGTGTGTAAAATTAGCACCATTTGGATAATGCCAATGTCTTCCATCAAGCTGAGCAGTGGATTGGCTCCCTTGGATCACAGCTACAGAGACTTGAGATCACCTCAGTATCTAAATTCAGGGAAATGCTTCCCTAGGTGGCCATAATGAGTAGTATACCTAGAGACTTGCTTTTCAAAGAAGAATATTTCAAACTAGTTTACCCTGTTATATCCTCAAAAGTGAGATCCAGGCCTTTCCTGAGTTTCTTTCAGGTATTTTTTCCTGTTGACCTGATGCAAAGTAATTAGCTTCTTTTTAATGGTAATAATCTCCTTAGCAGTCACACCTTCTTTGGCTTCAAATTTACACATTTTTATGGATTAAATTTAACTTTTAAAAAAAAATTCTGCTCACATTTCTGTCTCAAATTCGCACTATAAATCTGACTAAAAACATGCAGTTGTAACCATACCATGGCCTGAATATTGGGCTTTCTTGAAATTTCTTGTTCCAGATTAGTTAGATCACTGTTTTTAGTATCCTTAAAAGACTGAGGACAGAGGAAAAATGTGGACAATTTTTCTACACACATAGCTCAAATTCTATTTGTTGATGAAGTCCTTGTCCTCAACTGAAACCTCCTACACCTGACCTTTACTATCTGCTTTTCTATAGATATTTTGCTTTCCTTAACTCTGTTCAGAAAACTCTATTAGGATGTTTGCAGCACTCTAAAACTTCTCTAGTCAACATCTCCAAACCTTATTCATCATACAAACTAGCTGCAAAGTCTTCCAAAATATATAGTCAGGTACAATCATAGTAAGGACCTCACTTCTGAAACAAATTTTCAGTAGAATCCATCTTGCTAAACTCTAGGGCAAAAATACTAACCCACAAAGGAAAACACTGCTCATCTCATAGCAAGTAAGAAGTAGAGAGGCAAATTAGGGCGTGGATAATAAGGTATAACTTGAAAACTCACTATAACATGACATATCCCTTCTAATACAGCCGTATGTCCTAACAGCACCTTGAATTTATCATTGGGTTGATCCATTGATAAGTGACTCTTATGACACTATAACTTCTAAAACCCCAGTTATGAATATATGATACTGTTGAAAAATATTTTATATCTGTCCCATAGTATTATATACATGTATATAATTATATTCAATATACATATTGCATATCAGTGGGTATAATCATATCTATAATATGTAGCTTTAAAAGGAAGCACAAACACTTAATAACAATGTATATCTTGTGTAGACAAAAAGGCAGTGAAATATATATAGTTCTATACTCCTTCCCCATTCATTCCTCTCCTCTCCTCCTTCTCTTTTTTATGTTATTGATGGAAGAACCCAGGACTTCACATATCAAAACTTTGTGGTTTACCATTAAAATTTATGATGGTTTTATTTTTCCATAACAATGTTATAATAAGAGTTATTTTTTAGTTTAAGCCATATTGTTAATTTATCAGAGTAAAGAGAAGTAATGGATTAGAAATTCTGAATTCATCTTTTTCACTTACCAGAAAATGTATTAATTGAAATTTCATATTCTTTTTAGTTCTTAATAAATTATCTCTTACAATATTTATACTGTTAATAAATTATTTTATTAGACTCCTTGTATTTATTTTTGTGTTAGGATATATTTCACTACCTTATCTTAGCTAACATTCAATAAATTAAAAATGTTTAAATTTAAGAAGAAAATGAAGGAATAATCTATTTTTCTAACAAATACTATTTTTGGTAATTTTTCTGGAAAAATGTTTAAAAGTTTTGAAGTACTCACAGTTCTGTTATGGGGGATGGCATTATGCAGGTACATCTGTTATTCAAGTGACTGCCACAGATGCAGATGATGCCAATTATGGAAATAGTGCCAAAGTGGTCTACAGCATATTGCAAGGGCAGCCATATTTTTCAGTGGACCCAGAATCAGGTAAAAATATTTATTATTTGGTCTGTGTCTCACTCCATAATACACCTACATACATGTGTATTTCAGAGCTTTATATATCTAAAACCTATCCAGTCAATATGATGTTTTTGTTTCTTTTCTACAGTTATTACATAGACAGAAAACAAACTTCCTGCATCTGAAGCAACTTATTTGAATCCTTGTTTTTTTAAACTATTACCTACTAGGTTTAAATTTCACATGCTAAGTAGAAAATTTCACAATGCCCTATGTATTATACAGCATAGCAATGCTCAATATCTAAAGAATGTGACAGCAGAATTGTTTAGTCCTTAAACTTTCCCACAAAATTCACTTTTAAATCGTAATAATAATTAGATTGATTTAGCAAAGCTTACTCCATAAAGAATAGTCCATGGTAGATTTCATTATTTTGTGAATTGTATTAAATTGGTTGTGAAATGGAGCACAATTTGTTTTCTATTTGTTATTACTAAGTGGACCTTGCATCATTTGTTTTTAATGTCAATGACTGAATTGTCTACTTTTACTTTATAAAAGGTGTAATAAAAACTGCGTTACCAGACATGAGCAGAGAAAATCGAGAGCAGTACCAAGTGGTTATACAAGCCAAAGACATGGGTGGCCAGATGGGTGGCCTCTCCGGGACCACCACCGTGAACATCACTCTGACGGACGTCAACAACAATCCTCCTCGCTTCCCACAGAGTAAGTGCGGCTTCCTTGATCTCATGAGAAGTTTCTCACACATTGAGACAATATATTGGTGTTACTCGTTTTGCTGTTTGTTTCTGCATAAAATAAATGGACAGCACTTCCTTCCAAAAAATCATTTTTTTCCAAATTGAAAATGATGATCATTTTAGTATATACTCAGTGAAAACAGGTGTGTGAGCTTCTTTTAGAAATTTAAGTATCCTTTTGTAGCTTAAGTTGGAAAGTTTTCCAAACTAATTTGCCAGCATTCTCTGTGACCCTTTTCTTTTTTTCTATCTCCTTGCTCAGGAATGTGAGCTCTTAAATCTGGGTGCTGGAATTCAAATCTAAACCTGTTGGTTGCCCTGCCCAGATCTCTTGTCTACACAGCATATAAGTACAATAAGCCTTATCGATTTTATAAATACCGACTTTATGTTTTAGCCTCTCTGAGACCACTATGTGTGATCTTAATATCTTCAGAAAACAGGTTTGAGACTATTACAGTAATACAAAAAAATGCTGAGGACTAGATCCTGAAATAGTAACCATTACAAACCTAAACTCATTTAATCCTCATAACAAATCTATGCGTTAGGGGCTATTTTATGTACTTTATTATATAGATGAAGATAGTGACATCAAAGTTTAAAATTTCACTGACTTGTTTGCTGGTAAGAATTCACCCCGTTACAGTTGGACTTCAAAACCCATTTTGTTAACCACTGAACAAACCAGAAAGAGAAGAGACTTTGAAGTCAAACAGATTTTTTCCCAAGTCTGCCAGATGATTTCCCTAAGCCCCGGAAGATAATTGACCTATGTAGGACTGGAGGACCAGGATGAGTACTAATTAAATTACCATGAAGGGACTTTGATCTTCTGTAGAGTGCAGCACATAATAAAGTTATAAAAATATTCCTGACTTCAATATTTTTTGTATATCTGCCTATTGTCTCCTGATGGGAAAAATCTAAAATGCTTTGAAGAATACACAGAAAGCAATACAAGAACTTGCTTGATCTGTAGGAAACAGAAAAAAAACCCAAAAAACAAAAAACAAAAAAACCCAAACATATCTTATTTAAAAAAATACGAACCTTAAAACAAAGCAAATATTAAACATGCACATCGTTATGTGTAATATCATTTTACGTCTCTAATAAGGAATAAAATAATAAATTTATTTTTACAACAATCAAATACATATAAAAATGTGTGATGACATTTTGAAAGTCCCATAGAAGGGGCAACTATATTTTCATGCCCTTTTAAGTCAAAAGTTCCATATTGTACTCTCAGGTTCGCTGTGTGTTCTGAAAATAAAGTTGGACATAGGTCTGGGACACAGATTTCATTTAGAAAATGAAGCTTTCCTGCTTTTAAATAGTGTTTTCTTACCTTAATAAATATTTAACTTTAAGAGCATACAAGAAAATATGATGAAAAACTATCCCAAATTAAAATTAGTTTAATAAATACAGAAAAAAAATTATAAAAATCAGTCATCCAACATGAAATATCACAAGTGCTCTGATTTAATTCATAGGCACGTACCATTTTAATTCTCCTGAGTCTGTGCCGCCTGGAACCCACCTGGGAAGGATAAAAGCCAGCGACCCTGACATGGGGACCAATGCGGAGGTGCAGTACAACATCGCAGAAGGAGACGGGGCCGACACTTTCGAGGTTGTCACAGACAAGGACACACAGGAAGGAATTATCACTGTCAAAAAGGTTCCTTCACACTGTGTTCACTTTTTTACTGAGTCCTGCATAGTTTTCTCTTGCATTTCAGTAAAGAGCAGAAAGCTTAATTTTCCCCTTTATTACACGGTCTATCTTTCACAAAAATGAGAATAGAAGCGATTTTACTCAAATGAGTGAAGGATTTTAATCAATGATAATTGCAAACTACTATGAAAATTCAAATGATTGTGTTTGAGGGGATAACAATCCGACCAGTACTAAACTTAATTTTGTGTTTCTCTCTGTGAAAAATAAAGTGTACATTGGACACTGTTATCATATACTTTTTCCAAAAATATTTTTATTGCAAATGCAATGGTTTATTTCAACAAGTGGAAACTAGAAATACCATGTGCTTCATCTAGGTTTTCTTGATTTTTATAATGCAGTATGGAAAAGTGTTCTGAAACATAATGTAGAATAGTACAGTCAGTGTTAGTTATTATATGTTTAATATTTCACTCATAACTTACTTTCTGTAAGTGCTCAAATCACTGAAAAAATATTACTCTAACTCGACCATTATTCAGCGTTTCTTCTCATTTTAAGTATATGTAAATTTTATAATAGTGATGTACATAATTCATACATCTACTAAAGAATGATTCATTTAGCTGAGAGTGATGAAATTGAAGTATGTTATCCAATGGGAATCAGTAATAATATATATTCTTTTACACTTATTTAACTCCATATATTAAGAGTAAGGCAATACAAAGGTATATCCATTTATTTGATATATCTTGTAAGCAATAATCAAGGAACCAGATGGTAGGCATCGTTAAAATCAGGTTAATTAAATTTTGAAATTGTCACCTATCATCTGGCCTTCCATATCATGCTGAATTTTTCTTGTTTTATTTTACTTCAGAATTTAGATTTTGAGAAAAAAATGCTTTATACTTTAAGAGTGGATGCAAGTAACACTCATCTTGACCCTCGATTCCTACACCTGGGACCTTTCAAAGACACTGCTGTGGTCAAGATATCTGTGGAAGATATAGACGAGCCTCCTGTGTTCAGCAAACTCTCTTACTTGATAGAAGTTGATGAAGATGTAAAGGAGGGAAGCATTATTGGACAAGTCACGGCATATGACCCCGATGCCATGAACAATTTAGTGAAGTAAGTACTTTGAAGGTTTTTTTTTTTTGCAGAAAACTAATTATCTGTTTTCAGGCATATAGGAGAAATTGCACTGCACAGTGGAGAGTCTAACGCAATACTTAGAACTTGTAGTAAACAAACTCTTAACGGGATTGCCATCCAGAAACTCTAATTAGATTACTTCACTTTGCTGTCATAATGCCACTAGATAGATGTTATTATGCTGTTTCTCTGCATATGATAAGCATGACTCACTGAACATTTAAATTAGTAGTTCACATTTAAATTAGTAGCTCAATGTTAGCAAAACTGGGTTCTGAAATAATCAGGCTTTCTGACTCCAGATTGTTCAGAGATCTGAATCTTTTACATGTTGGTGTTTTTCTTGTCTGTTATTTAAAATGAAATACAAGTGAAAATGATTAAAAACTAATTTCGGAAATCTGGCTTGGAGAAATATCAAAATATCTTTTTCAACAATAATCACCAATACTACTGTATATGAAAACATTGGGGGAATATCGTGTCAGCTATATTCCAGCTGTGACACAGTGTTGTTAAGGAGATGACAATATACATTGTAAGTTACCAGGAAAGGTACATGTCTTAGTTATTAATAGCATATCAGCATATCAGGCTGGCCCAGAATTTGAAAGTCAAATGCATCATTAAAATCCAGAAAATGAAAGCAATCTTAAAACTTTCTTGTAGGTTGAATATAAATGTATTTACAACAAAAGTGGATATATTAGCTGATGGATGATGCTGAGTATTAAGTAAAGGAAAACAAGAAAGAAGAGTTGATGAGCAATAAATTGTCTGTTAAATGTATGACTACCTAAATGCCTAAAATTGTATTTTCTTAAAATTTCATTGTTTAATAAAGCACACTAAATTTTTGTTTGTTACCATTCTTCAAACATAGCAATTTACACGTACCATATGTTATTATCATATATTATTATTAAATGTATTTATTATACACTATATTATGTTTGAATATTATATAATATTCAAAATGTTATTTGCTATAACAAATTATTTCAAAATGTATTTAATTTATTTATGATTTTATATTATTGAACACATTAACTTGTACAATACAGAGAGTCTATAGATTTTAACCTTTAGTTAATAAAATCATACTCTTTACAATTTTTTATCAGTTGTAACTTACTGGAATAGTCCAAAGGATATTTGTTTTTAAGTATCAGTTTTAAATTACAAGTTTTACATTAAAATCGATTTTATAATTGTTTTATTTCATATAGGTTATTTCTTCTAAAAATTTATTCATATCTCTATTTACTTTTATTATACTAAACAAGATTCTTCAAGTAAAAATAAGCAATCTACTTTTACATAATTAACATATATTTATTGGCATATTCAGACGAAAAAAATTAGATTTTTGTATTGAAATTGTCTGTAACTGATTGCTTTCAATGTCCCTCGCTTGTGAATTTAGAAAAAACAGAAAAGAACTTTAAACTATGTCCACTTTCTTTGCAATGCCAAAACGAAACAAACACATATTACTATTTTTGTTTGAAATATGCATAATATATGATATGGAGAATGACAAGTGGTAATCACAAAGTCAACAACTTCTTTAAGAATTTTTACATATTTATGATGCTGCAAGTGAAGACATTTTTAAATAAAATTTTCTATGAAGAGAAAATGAAGATAGTTTTGTTATTTCATATCAGTGGTGACTTTTTTCGGTTGCATTAAACTTCTCTAATTTGTCAGCTAGTTAAAATTATTTATTTTTAAAACTATAAGTGTTTATTCATACTATTATGTAGAAATGCTCAATAAGTGTCTGCCTTTGATGAGTTTTGATAGTTTTAATAATAGTTGTCAAGTGTTTGTGGAAGGACTACTGCCCTTATTTAAAAAAAAAACTGATTGCAGATTTAGCTCAGCGGCATATGCGCCTGCCTTGCAAGCAGGCAGTTGTGAGTTCGATTCCTGGTACCAATAAAAAGGAAAAAGACAAAACAAAAAAAAAAAAAACCTGACTGCAAATTTTGAAAGTAATCATTTATCAGTAATTTGTAGCATAATGGCAAAACACCAGCAGTTTTAGATGATAAATCTATTAGAGTTTTGAATATTTTTAAATCTGAGTGTTTCTATATTTTAACAATCTGATCCCTTTTGTCTTTTATGAAGTTTATTTGTGCACTCAAAATTCAATAAATTTTTCAGGAGATCCATTACATCTTTTTCTCAATTTTTATTTTATTTTTTTAGTACATGCTTACAGTACATAATGATTGCTTTCCTTTGAATAATGTATATAACACATTTTAATTCTTTCTTAATACACCCAATATTTCTTGATCCCTTTTGCTAAATACCTATCTTTCTATTTCTTACTGTCTGTTCTTTATGTTTCTCTTTATTTATATTTTATTTTTTATGTAAGACAAACCATGAGATACTTAACCCATATGTCTGATCTGCTTTGATTTACATTATGTCACAAGGTGCATGTGTTCTCCTGCAAATGACTCAAGTTCACACATCTTTATGTCTGAATAGTACACTATGGCATATAAATGCCACATTTATTTTACCTTTTCATTTATTGATGGACACTTTTAAGATGTATCTACAATATTATGCTGTCTTGGTTACTTTTCTCTCTTTGCTGAGACAAAATACCCAATCCCCAAAATGAAGACAAGAAAGATTTATTTAGCTCATGGTTTGTGGAGGTTTCAGTCCATAATCAGCTGGCTCCAAGGCAGGGTGGCATGGCCTCACTTCAAGGCAGCAACCAGCAAGAGCAAGCAGAGCAACAAGGGTAGGCAGATGTAGTTCTCACAAAATTCTCCTTCCCGTCCTCTTGCACAAGATGAGGGTATTTACAAAGTAAGGATCCTGAATCTCTGCTGAGTCTCTCAGTTAAACTTAACTTCTCAAGTTGACACAATGTATCAACCATAGCATATGCACTGCTATAAATACTGGTATGCATGCATATATCATTCCAATGTGATGTCTTTAGTAATTTTGGAAAGATTCCTAGAATAATAAAAGTTAGATCAAATGTGATTTCTATTTTTAGGTTTTTGAGGAGTTATCATATTGTTTTTTCATAATGTTTTACTAGTTTAAACGTCTACCAACCATATGGAAGAGTTCTTTGTTTTCAATGTAGCTTGCTAGCATTTTATTTATTTATTTATTTATTTATTTATTTATTTACTATTTGCTTTCTTGAATTCTTTCTGGAGTGAGATGCAATTTCAATAATGTTTTAATTTGCATTTTTCAAATGGCCAGAAATAACAAACATTTTTTTTTTTTTTATGGACTTACTGGTTATTTGTACTTCATCTTCTGAGAATAGTCTATCTATTCATTGTGCTTTAAAATTTTTCATTATATCTATTTATTTAAATTGTGCATTTAATTGGATCTTTTATTTTGAATGATCTTTATTATTTATATAACTAGTATATATAATATATATAATACTAATAAAAATATATAACATATAGGTTACATAATATGTTATATATATATATATATATATATATATATATATATATATATGTCATTCATACTCTGTCCATACATATTCTATGTACTGTTGGCTGTGTATTCACTCTTTTGGTTGTTTCTTTCACTGTGCAAAAGCTTTTTAATCTCATATGGTCCCACTTGCTGACTTTTGCTGTTATTGATTGTGAAGTTGGGTTTTGCTTGTATAGTCCTTGGGTATGCCCATGTTTTCAAGAATTTTATCTGTTTTGTCTTCTAGCAGATTAAGTGTTTCTGCTTTAACATTTATGTCTTTATCATTTTTATTTTGGCTTAGTATATGATAAGAGATACGGGCCTACATTCAATTTTATGCATGTGGATAGTTTATTTTCCCAACACTATTTATTAGAGACGCTACCTTTCCTTTAGTGTCTGATTTTGACACTTACGTCAAAAATGAAATAGTTAAATGTGCCCACAGTTATTTCTTGATTGTCTATTATGATTCATTGTTCCACACATCTGTTTTTTGTGCCAGTACCATGCTTTTTGATCTTTGTAGCTTTATAATATAACCTTCAGCTTTGCTTTTGTTAACTAGGAATGCTTTTATTACTCTGAGTTCTTTCTGGTTCTATAAAAGTTTTAGAATTTATTTCTCTAAGTCTTATAACTAAGCATATTTCTATTTATTAGAGGAGTCATCAAATTTTATAAATTCTTAATACTCCTTTCTGAAAAAATGTCTCATTTTGTTTCTTTCTAACACTTTTTTCTTTTTCCGCCTTGAACTTAGTTTCATATTGATGCAAGCAAGATTGGACTTTTCAAAACAGATGACATTTTATTTTACAATATTTTATATATTTTTTACTTCAGATGAATTATATTAGATCATACAATATTCATATAAATGAACCCTATGCCGTCATTTTGATTAAAATGCTTCATTTTGCAATGTATTTAACTTCACACATTTTCTTATTGAATTTTGATTGTATGGATGGACGATGTCCTTAATCAGATATATAATTTATAAATATTTTTACATGCATTGCTCTCCATCCTTAAAATGACTTTGAAAAAGCCAAACATTTTACTTTTGGTAAAATTGAATTTATCAATTCTTTATTAAATTTATATTTGAGACCAGTTTCTACAAATGAGCCCTCTGGGACTTTTACTGAGATTTTTAATCTGTAAATACATGTAGGGAGAATTTATATCATAATAATATTTAACATAATAGCCCACAAAATAAAATACAATTTGATTTATCTCTAGGTTTTTAACAAATATTTTCGGATTTATGTATACTTTTCAATCATGACTTCATCAGATGTGCTATAAGTTTGAAGACGTGTCTTCTTCTTCAGGGACTATAACGTTTAATGGGCCCCGGGAGTGCTCTGCTCTTCCCTCTTCACTTTCATATAGTATGGACGTTATTACCTTGGGTTCCCTGAATCACTGTCACCTGCGTTCATTTGTTCTAACCCTTTTACCTTCTCCAT